GTAGTGTTTCGAATTAAACTATTTGAAATTTATTGTTTGTAATTCTTAATTGAATTATAAATTTTTGAATACCATCGCGTGGTATCTATATCTTCCTATAAATTGATACTTAAATATTATTTTTAACATATTACTGGTATATTCCTAGTTGGCTTAAAACTAAATCAATAATGAAAGGATATATACAAGTACTTGAAGTGAAATTTTATCAAATCATTACAACTTTTATACAATATCACTATAATATTACGGTAACCAACATTCGTTCGTGGCTTTCTTGACGAATTAGTTCGAAATTTAAAGCAGTCAACTAAACTAATTGATAAAAGGTGAAATAAGTAACCTCATACAAAGAACTATACACTTTATTTTGTATGATATATGATAAGAATGCCTAAATAAAATAATTTAAATCAAATTTATAGGAACATATATTTAAGAAAGGCAACAGTTAGTTCAAATTTAAGCGCAATGTATTCTTTTACCTGGAGAGCAATAACAAAAACAGCCATAACTGGAGAGAGTTATGGGTGAAAGCATTATTATTCTAGTGCTTACAGAAGCTAATTACAATTTATTGCGTATATATTATTTTTACAATGCAGTAATACTAAAAAATATTAGTTCGTAATAGAAGTTAGTTTAAATATGTAATTATATTGAATAAATAATACACTCAGGTGAAATATTATAGTTAGATGTATATGAATAATTTTATTAACTTGTAATTATTTCCTAATTTAAATTTGTATTATTTATTCATTAGTTTTTACAAAATAATTATTCTAAAACAATTAAAGTATATTTGTTATATATTAGAGGTTATTAGAAATAAATATGTATGATAAAACTCAATCTAAACAATATTTAGTCAATAATTAAGAAAATTAATTTAAACAAAAATAAAACATAATTGTTAAGATTTGATATATAATTAAGGTTATTCCCAGTATTGTGACGCGTGAAGTATTTGCTAATTGCTTTATGGGAATATGACTCCGTTCTGGAAAAACCGGAAAAATCACGAAGATAACTCAATCAAGTCACATATTCATTAAACTTGTATATTTAATTGTCGTAAAATTAGTTCAAGGTTCATTAGGAGTTCATTAGCATTTCCAGTAAATACACGTCGTTTAGACGTTTATACATAAATTAAAGTTAAGCAATGTACTTTGCATGTAATTATTTGCTTAATATATTTTATTGTATGATGACCTTAAACTAAATAAATTATTTATTTAAAATTTTGAAAATTTTCCGATAATCAATTTTTAAGTTAATGTTTGCCGAATTTATTTATACTTTTTATATGACAAATATTTTATTTAAAATTATTTGATCAATAATTTCAAAATCTTTGTAATCATTCAAAAATATTAAATTACAATATTTATATTCAAGATATTAACTATTAAAGTGTTATTATAGCATGAGTTTTTAGTCTAAGAAATGATTAAGTCCTATATAACTGAACTTAGAATTATTTCAATGTTAGAACTATTTGATGCAAAACCGGATATGCGTATTCATCAGATAGTCGAAATTTAAGATATTATCCATTAAAGTGTTAGTATGGGATGAGTTTTTAGTCCAAGAAATAATTAAGTCCTATATAACTTTACTTAGAATTATTTAAATGTTAGAACTATTCGATACAAATCCGGATATGTATATTCGTCGAATGGTTGAAATATCAAATAGCTTTTATAGTGCAAAAAATGTCTTAATTCCTTCTTTTCTTACAATATTATTTTGTTTAATATAAGAATATAAATAATATTAATCATTAATGACCCTTTTAATGTTTTTGTGTTATTTGAAGCAGTCTTTATTTCTACTGTCCTTTTTGGGTTCGATGTAAAGAATTCAACAGTTGTAAAATAGTTCTTAAAATTTTTTTTATATTTGTTAGAACAGTTATCAACAAATGCACTTTAAGGTGATAGCACCTTAAATATATCATACACTCTCACTACTCGATTATTAAAACATCATATAATTGTCTCGTTGAATAATATTTCTTAAACAATTTTTATGTAAGTATCACTTTGGACCAAATTTTAAAAGATCATCTTAATATTTCACAATAAAATTCTGGAAGTGATGCGTCTTTATATAGGTTGGGCGACAAAACAGAAATGATTATTCTATATATACCATTCCCTTGAGAGACATGCTGCGTCAGGTCGAAACTCGATAACAGATTTGTTATGGCCAAATAACTAAGTTAAGACCATCTACAAAAAAAAATAATCTAAATGATTATTAAATTAAATGGTTTTAATCACAGTCAGTAATTATTACTTATAGTCTCTACAGTACATATAATATTATCAATATTAAATAACTATTGCTATGTACATAAATTAAAAATTCAAAATTTAAAGCATAAATATATACTCTTTTTTTCGATCGAACAAGTATCGAAATTCATAAGATGACTGGAGAGAACTGTTTGCTCTCACATTAAGGGTGGAACCTTTTCTAACGTTTATGGTTTCATCGTTTTTAAAGCTATCTATATACTTGGTCAGGGAGTTTTGAAATGATTAAGTTTAAATCATTGAGAATGTAAATTTTTATCATTCATTTAATATTTTTGGTATGTATTTTATTTTTTGAAGCTTGCCAAAATCCTCAGAAAAGGAAGCCCCTAGCATAGCAAATCAATACTTAGCAACGCTAAAGAGTAACAAAGTAGATGTGAACCACTTTCATCATCCTCCGCACAACTGCAACAGGAATAATTATATAGCGAAAATTAAGTTTATAAAAGTGAATTTAGCTTAAAAAATATATATTATAGTAGGGATTTTTTATAAGTTCCGCTTCAGATTTGCGTTATGAATGAGTTAGCATTATACTTTGACTTACGTCAATCTAATGTAAATAAGATAATACTAAAAAGTAAGTAAATAAATAAAAATGACTCTGTTAATTGTGGTAAGAAAAATATACTCTAATTGATTACAGCTAGTATGGTAACTACTTAATAAATACTTAAACAACCCCACCTCTTTCTCATTTTCTGCATTCTCATGTCTATCTACTACGCCAGCAGAAAAGTTTTTAATAAAAATTTACGTTTTTCATCTATTTGATTTATGCGTTAAAATTTGTTACTTGAAATTATATCTCAAATTCTGAGAATATTAAACGTTTTAACATGATTTTAATATGTACCATTGAAATTTGAATTCAAATACATATTGATATAAATAAATTATTATTAAAAATAGTTGAATCATTATAATAACAGTAATAAAATTGATGCAATGAATATGATTTATAAGTACGTACTTTAAAATTTGTAAATATCTAGCATTGACCAAATGTTATTTAACCCTTTGCATAAGCCCAATATATGGTACAATATTACAACTATGTAATACATATAGTATTTACGTACTTTACATACTAAATTTCAATTAGCCAAACTTTTTTCTCTGCATTTTTAAAAGGACTCCGAATGTAAAGTTTTATCTATTCCGCAATCCTGATTTGACAACACAAAATTTTTAACTAATAGCTATTATATGTATAGTTTAGAATTTGTCATTTCGCAATATGGATCGTTTAACAGTCGCCAAACGTGTAAAAATTGTAAAGGCTTACTTAAAAATAGTAATGATTTTTTAGATCGAATATTTTTCAGTGGTCATAAACACCTAAGACGGTAAAAAATTAACTATTTATGGACTAATGCGTTGAGAAAGTATCGCTAGGAACTAATGCGCATTTAACTCTAATATGCCCAAAGCCCACGTGAGCTCAAATACTGGCTCGTTGTGTAACCACGGATTAGCGATCATGCACAGTCGAAAATTTTAGTTTAAATTCTCAACCCTGATAACTTTTTTAAGGTTTAAATCAATATTTTTAAACTTTGAGATTGGATTAAACCCA